AATAAGTGAATAATATAAAATATAAAAAAGTATAAGATATGAAGTGAAATCAAAATATCCCAATAATAAGACAACATGAAATATAGTTCAACTCAAAATTTTATCTTTCCCAAATCCCAGTATTCTTTTCATTAACAAATAATTCCAATTTCCAAAAACAAATAGCAATGACATATCACATAAGAACTCATAAGTCATCAGCACTGTCATCACTAAGGGGTTCTTCATTTGAATCATCATTATGATGAACTGCTCTCCCCTTCCTTCTCTCCTATAGAGTCCAATGTCGGGCATTTACTTCAAGATTTATGTAAGTTTTAATATATATAGCGTGAGGCGAGGCGGGCAGGGCCTCAACCAAGTTGAGGCGCAAGCCTCATAAAAAAACTCGAGGAGTAAGCATCGAGGCGTTTTTTACTGGAATTGCGCAAAGGCGGGCCTCAAGGCGAGCCTCATATTGCGCAATTTTAAACCATGCTATATACTACTACTATACTATACTATACTATACTACTACTATACTATACTACTACAATATACTATATACTACTACTATACTATATACTACTACTACACTATACTACCAAATGACTAGGTGGAACCTATACTACTACTATATATTATACTATAGTAACTATACTACTACTACTACTATACTATATTACTACTACTATATACTATACTATACTACTATATACTACTATATCATATACTATATACTACTACTATACTACTATACTACTATACTACTACTATATACTATACATTATACTATTATACTACTATACTATACTATATACTACTATATTACTACTACTATACTATACTATATAGTACTATACTATACTATATAGTACTATACTATACTATACTACTACTATACTACTATACTATACTACTACTATATTACTACTACTATACTATACTATACTACTATACTATATACTATACTATACTACTATACTATATACTACTATATTACTACTACTATACTATACTATACTACTACTAATATACTACTATACTATACTATACTATACTATACTATACTACTACTATATGATAGTACTACTACTATACGATACTACTACTACTATACTATACTACTACTATATACTATATACTACTACTATACTATATACTACTACTATATACTATATACTACTACTATACTATACTACCAAATGACTAGGTGGAACCTATACTACTACTATATACTATACTATAGTAACTATACTACTACTACTATACTATATACTATATACTATACTATATTACTACTACTATATACTATACTATACTACTATATACTACTATATCATATACTATATACTATATACTACTACTATACTACTACTATATACTATACACTATACTACTATACTACTATACTATACTATATACTACTATATTACTACTACTATACTATACTATAATACTACTATACTATACTATATAGTACTATACTATACTATACTACTACTATACTACTATACTATCCTACTACTATAATACTATACTACTATACTATACTATACTACTACTATACTATACTACTATATACTACTATACTATACTACTACTACAACTACTATATAATACTATACTATACTATACTACTACTCTATACTACTATACTATACTACTATACTACTACTACTATATACTACTACTACTATACTATATACTATATACTATACTATACTACTATACTACTATTATTATACTACTACTACTATATACTATACTATACTACTATATACTACTATACTATATACTACTACTATACTACTACTACATACTATATACTATACTACTATACTATACTATACTACTACTATACTACTATATTATACTACTACTATACTACTACAACTACAACTACTACTACTATACTACTATACTATACTACATACTACTATTATACTATACTATACTATACTACTATACTACTACTACTATACTATACTATACTATACTATACTACTACTACTATTATATACTACTATATACTATTATACTATACTACTATACTACTACTATATACTATACTACTATACTACTATATACTACTACTATATATACTATACTACTACTATAATACTATACTACTATACTGAGAAAGAGGAGCTGTCATAAGAAATTGTAGAAGTACTGAGAAAGTCTACCAAACACAACAATGAGGAGATAGAAATTCAAGTGGAGGTTAAATTCAATGGCTTGGATCATGCAGATTCTCTAGGCCTTCGAGTTATACATAACAGACTTAGATGCATCACTAATTGGTTAGTAATTGCACTGATGAAGTTGCAGCATCCTCACTCTGAAAATGGTTATTCTTTGGTAAAGATTTACGGGCCACGAGTAAAATTTGACAGAGGACCTGCATTGGCATTCAATGTGTTCGACCGGAAAGGAGAGAAGGTTAATCCTGTGCTTGTTCAGAAGCTGGCAGACAGAAGTAACATTTCACTAAGCTGTGGGTTCCTTCAAAAAATCAAATTTTCAGAAATAAAAATATTAACATTTGAAGGATACAGTTTAAGAGGAAAGACTCCATGAGAACACAGTAGTTTCAGATAATAAAAAGAAAGAGGATCATAATCTAGGGATAGCCGTTGTAAATGCTTCATTTGGTTACCTAGCTAATTTTGAAGATGCTTACAGGCTCTGGGCTTTTGTTGCCAAGTTTCTGGATGCTGATTTTGTTGAGAAGGAGATATGGAGATATGTGGCTCTTAACAAGAAAATGATCGAATTGTAGACTGAGGAATGATCAAGAATCCATTATTTTATTGCTCCTCCTTTTCAAACTTTGCAGATGGGGGACAATATGGGAGCATTCAAATTTCCTATTCATTCATTCTTTGTAAATGATGTGCAATGTTGCAGAAGTCAATTGAAATGTTTAAACTTCAATATTTTTTTGAAATATTTAAAGATAGTAGCTGAGAGTAGTAACAAATGTCAAACAATTTATGTCATGCAATCGTTTCATATATTTTACTTCATTATTGTAGTTTCTTGGACCGAGTATTTTTTTTATTAGAAAGTTGCTTTAAACAGCAGTAAGAAAGTTGTCACAAACGAAACCTAAGTCACTCAAAGTAG